CGGGGAGATGAGGCACATGAGGCTGGTAATCTGGGCCTGGGCCCTGAGCAGCAGGTGGAGAAACATGTCTGACTGAGGGCCACAGCTGTGGAGAGAGTAGTCAGGTGGCACTGAACCTCTGAGGGCACTGCCCCTTCTCTGCTTGAAGACCATCACTGGCAACAAAAGGCGAGTGGTTCGTTAGGATGGGGCCTCGGGCTGGCTGCAATGACTGAGAATGGCTCTGCACCATGGACCAGCAGGGAGAGCAGGGCAGATGGAGTCAGGTGTGCTTGCCATTTAACCCCTCCCTCACAGGGCACCCACAGCCCCCCCTGTGGCAAGGCGCCCGGAGGCCCTACTGAGGGGCAGGCTGGGCTGGAGCCAAGGTGGCCCCACTAGCAGTCTTGGGAGCGCCAGGTGGCGCAATGAATTGAACCTGAGCTGGATCCTGAGCGCCCTGCATAGCTGTCCCCCCATCAAGCCCAGAGTAGCTGTGGTCAGGAGTGCGGACTCCAGGTCCGACACACTGCTCCCTCCAGCACCTCACGTGAGCCAAACAGGACAGTGAACCTGCCCTGCAGGGGGCCCCAGCTGTCCTCTTTACAGTGTTGATTCCCACAGAGCCCCTGGCCCCTCCAGAGCACACACACCAGCGTATTCTGATCCCGTGGCCTGTAGGGCGGAGCTTCCCCCTGGGTTTCTGGGACCCTGAGAGGTTAGCCCCACACCCAGATGGGCTTGGTGGCTTCAAACCACTGACCTTGCGGTTTGCAGCTCACTCTCACAGTGTCACCTCACATGCACACACCCTTCACAGCAGTCCAGCTGTTCCCCTAAAATCCTGCCCTGCCACCAGGGCCATTCAGCATGGCTGGTGACTCGACCATGCCGCAGTGCTTGCCTCCCACAAAGCTGGTCAGGGTCATCACCAAGCAAGCCAATCCTTTTCATCCCTGCAGCCTGGCCTGCTCTCCCACCAAGATCAATGTCTCACCTCAGTACTGCCCCCCCACCCCACCCCTGGGCAACTTCTGGAACCTCAGCCTGTGGTTGGTGCATGCCCCCATGTGCTGGACATGCCTGCTGGGGTCCCTGTGCTCCTTTGCACCTCACAGGCCTCTCAAGTCCCCGCCAACAAAGCAGGAATCTGCCTGCAGGCTGCTGGGCCCTTGGCAGAACATGGGGGGTGGGGTGGGGTTTTCCATCTTGGAGCAGACTCTCAGCAGCAGGGGCAGGCACACCAGCTGCCTCCTCTCAATCACAGGAAGAGTACCACATGCCCCCAAGACTGAGGGCTCCAGGTGCGCCCGTCCCCACCTGGAGGGGAGGCCCAGGCCCAGGCCCCAGCCCCGCACGCCCACAGAACACTCAACAACTCACCACTTAAACACAAGTGTGAGCCGGTCATTTTTAATAACAAACATCTGGTTCCAAGAAGGGTGTGTTTCACTGAGTCCTTTGCAAGTGGCAGAGACGGCCAGAGAGAGGCACCAAGAAGCTGTGTGGCTGGGCCTCCAGCTCATGCCCACTCCGTGTCGGGCGTGGCCTCAGGAGCCACTGGGTGGCCTGGGCCTGGTTACAAGCAGGCAAGTCCCTGGAGACCCCGCCTGGCTGTCCAGCCATGAGCATCGGCTCTGCGGGGCACTTTGCCTCGGCCCCCCGCGCCCCGCAAGCGGTGGGTGGCCCCCTACGGCAGGCCTTTGGGCCTGCCGGGCTCCAGGGCAGGCGCAGCCTGCTTGCGCAGGTGGGTCTTCTGGTGCTGCAGGAGGTGCTGCTTCTGCACGAAGCTCTTGTCGCACTCAGGGCAGCTGTAGGGCCGCTCACCCGTGTGGATGCGCTGGTGCCGCACCAGGTCCGACGGGTGGCTGAAGCTCTTGCCGCAGTAACCGCAGAGGAGGGCGCTCCGGCTCTTCCTCCACGGGATGTGGCCTGGCAGGGCGACCAGGCTGTTGGGCGAGAACCTCTCCTGGGTGGGGGGGGCAGCCCCGGGCCTCTCCTGCCGGTGGCAGCGCTGATGGGTGGCCAGGCTCACCTTGCAACTGAAGCTCTGTGGGCACAGGCCACACTGATGCCGCCGAGCCTTTTTGGCCTGGGGCTTGAGTCGAGGCCTGGGCCTCAGACTTTCCTCGGGCTCCTGAGTTGGGGGAGATGCCCGGCCCAGATGGGTCCGCTGGTGCGAAGCCAGCTGCTGCCGGCCGCGGAAGCTGAGCCCGCACTCCGAACACCAGTAGGGGCTGGCAGGGTCCTTCTGCAGCTGCACATCCTGACCCAATGGTGCCTGCCAACAGGATGCCAACTTGCAGCGACCACCCAGAGTCCTGCCACTGCTGGCATCTCCCCCGCCCTGGGAGGGCTCCTCTGGGTCCAGGCCCCCAGGGTCCAATTCCACAAAGGCAGAGCTGCCTTGGCCATCCCAGAGGGCTGCCTGCCCAGGGCTCAGGGGGGCCTGCTCTTCATCAGCACCCAGGAACGCGCCAGGAAGACCCTCCAAGCCCTGATGCTGGTACTGGACCTCCTGTTTGATCACGATCCCATCTGCTGCCGGGAGAGACCAGAAGAGACTGTCAAAGCCCACCCCCGTGGCACCAGAGATGAGCAGACACCCGGGCCTGCAGGGTCAAGGCCATCCATCAGGCTCAGGTGCAGCCAGTGAACACATTGGCCTTGCAGGACACCACACACCAGACAGCACTGACTGCTCTGGAAGAACTATGCACCAATGACCACGGCGGAACACTTGCAAGGAATGGAGCCTCGGCCTCAATGATGCAGTTTCCCATCTGCCACCCAGACCACATCACCCTGGGGACCCACCGCTCTGACAGCCCTGCTCCGCAGGCCCCAGGAGATGGTGAAGCGTCCAAACACAAGGAAATGCCAGGGGGAGGGCCCCATCAGTGCCTCCAAGCATAACAGGTGGGGCGTGGAGGGCGGGGGCGGGCCCCATAGTCTGGAGCCACTCACCTGGGAGGGCAGCCACAGGCCCTTCCTCCTCCAAGCCAGCCAGCATCTCTGCACCCAGCTCTGCCTCTCCCTCAGGTGGGCCCAGCACCTCTGGGTGGAAACAGCAGAACCAGGGTCAGTGCCAGAAAGCAAGGACCAACACACGCACCAAGCTCACTGCTCACCAGCTGACCGGCCTGTCTCCCTCTCACGAGCGGCGGGTGCTTCAGCCTTGGTGCCACCGGGCTCCCTGGCAGTTTGTCGCAACTAGACAAGAACAGTCAGTTCCAATGACCTGGCCAGTCAGCACCCTCTGCCTCTGCGTGCACGCTCTCCCACCCACCTGCCCAGCCTCCGGCCCTCTGCCAGCACTGCTGTGTGCACGCCCAGCACTCCCCCGACCTACCACGCAGGTGCCCAGGGCCACCTAGGGGGCCTACTGCACGCAGCCGCCAGGCACTGCCCTGCAAGCTCTCTTTCCATGGACCTTGGTGTCGTCTCCATGTACCACACACTCACGGGGTGACAGTTACTACCTTACTATTCCAGCTAAAAGCAGAGAAATGGCCGCTTAGCCTGTCTGTCAGCCTCATGCCAGGCTCACACACAATTCCTGGCTAAGAGCAGGTCAGAGGCCTGGGCCTATGGCATGTGACAGATTATGCCTGTGAGCCATGCTGGGGACTTTGTGGTCCAGAGGAGAGTGCCCTGCTGACCTCCTGCTGTGGTTGTCGGTAACAATGCCTGGGGGTGTTCCCCTTCAGTGCCACAAGTCACTGCCTTGGCCTGGTTCTTTGGAGAAAAACACCCCAGGTTGTTTTTACTTGTGTCTAAGACTTGAGGTGACTGACATCTCTCTAAATGGCTGGCTGAGTCACATCACACTGCAAGAGCTTGGCCAATTCATGCAACAGATTATGACTTGACAACCTACCCAACAGGAATGAAAGACGTGCGGCCAGCCCAGGGGGCTGATTGGTTCAAGGTCCTGTTGGGAGAGCAGTGCCTTCAACTGATGATGGGTTTGCTGAAGGAAGCAGCCACACCAGAGGTGCTCAGAGCAACAAGAGTGAAGCGAGGAGGGACCCCGAGACTGAGACCTGGAAGAACTTGGAGTAGAGTGGTCGGGAGCCAGGGCTCCCTGGAAGTAACCTCCAAATACAGATGTAACAAGGGCAAAGTCAAGTGAGGGCCTGGAAGCAGCCCGGTGGCAGAGAACTGGTGGCAAGAGTCCCAGAAGGGGGCCTAGCTATGCACTGACCCTGACAGCAGCATAGCGGTCACTAGGGCCAAGGGGACAGCACCATGAGCGCTGGCCTGGCTGGAAGGTGCCCTGCATTACAGAGGGAGGGACAGGCTCATCGCTTCAGAGAGGTCTGCCAGACCCTGCCCATGTGCTTCCGGATCTGGAACCTTTTACTTTCAAGTTGATCCTGATCTCAAGTTGTAGGCTGTCTATGGATTCTGTGTGGTCATCGCAACAAACTACTGAACACAACAGAGAAGCAGAGGGTCCCAGAGCGGTGGCGCCTTGTCTGGACTGCAGCTGCACCTCCAACTCAGGGAAACCAGCTTTGGGCTGACCTGATTCTTGCCACTCAAGAATCTAGGCACTTCCTTATGCCACACACAAGACATAAGCACCACGTGAGGGGAAGCCACACTTACTCAAAGAGACCAGGGTCTCGTAGTTGCTCTTCATCACATTTCTGTAAAGCTCCCTCTGCCAGTCCTCCAGGTTCTCCCACTCCTGCTCCGACAGACAGACGCTGTCATCCTCAAAGGATCTGGATGCCTGAAACCATAGCCTTTGAGAGAAAGGACAGAAAGAGCGGGTCTCCCTACTGGCTTCCCCTTCACCCCGCCCCCCCCCTGCACTGACCTTGGGCACCTCGCCCTTGCTGCCCGGGGGCAGCCGCAGGATCCAGAAGTTCCTGTTGCGCAGCAGGTTCTCCATGTTCTCCAGCCGCCGCTGCAGCAGCCCGTACTCCTGCAGCAGCGTGCCCAGCACGGCCCACTTGCCCTCCAGCTGGTTCCCGAGCTCCACGGCCGTCTTCTCGCAGTCGGCCAGCTTCCTCTCGGCCGTCCCCGTGCGCCCCTCCAGGGTCAGCAAGCGGGCATCTTGGGATTCCATTTTCTTCTCCACGGCCTGAATGGCAGCCACCAGGGTCCAGAGCGAGATCTCCGTGGTCTGCAGAAAGGAGCCTTTGTCTGACGCTGGTGGGGGGAGTTCAGACGAGCTTAAAGGTATGGAGCGACGCTTTCTCTTGTGCTGTGAAGACAGTTAGCATTAGCCTGGCAAGGTCATTTCCAAGCACCAAATGACACATGTCAGCAGTGCTCAAAGCTACAAATCCCTAGTTGTGGTGTTTTGGGTCCTTTTTGATAAGTATTACTTTTAAATACCTCCTTTTATTCCACTTCATCCTTCTGCTGAAACTAAATGCATTCATTGTGCGGACTCTGGAGAAGTGACAGTGTTGTAAACAGTGCCATCTGGAGATACTCACAAATCAAACTCACTGCCATCCAGGCGACTCCTACGTGACCTTGTGGTTCGCAGTCCACCATGCAGCCACACCACAGGGCACTTACCCACAGATAAGAACTAGTCCATAAGTCTGCTCCCACTTAAATCTCTCCCCAATCCAAGAACAGTTAGTTCTTCAAACATGGCCCTACACTAACCCACCCAAGGGGAGGGTATTGTTTATATCGCCACAGGAGAGGGAGAAAGAGACCAGGCTTCAACCCAATGCGCCAAGATGTGAAATAACATACTGGCATGTACCGGGGAACCAATAGGGAGGTATGTGGGGATGGCCCCAATCCCAGCTAGGTGGACACCACCTCCCCTTCAGAAGAATGCACTTCAGAGGGCAGCACTGGGGCTACAACTTGGGGAGAGGGGCTTGTCTGATTACAGCACAAGGGAGAAACGAAAAGGGATAATGGAGAGGGAGGGGAGGGCATCCTGGCCCACCAAGCCCCGAGGACGAAATTCCTGCTCGGAGCAGACAACACACAGAGAGGACCATAGGGCCAGCCCCACCACGAGACACAACGTCCCTCACTAAACCATAGCAATGCGGGGACAAAAATGGAAACATAGTGTGGGAAATGTATAGTCTGACCCCCTCACGGCGGGGCGAAACACTAGGGCATGCAACAGGAGTAGCAAGGGGAGCAAAGTGATGAAATCCCTGAGAGAATACCAAAAATGGACTTTGGGGACCGAGTGTGGCAGCCCATCGGACTCAATTGGAAAACACTTGTAAAGGCCAACAAACAGAACTTGAACTATTTATAGGCTTTTCCATTTTTGTCAGTGGCTTTCTTTTTATTTCTGTTGTTTTTTGTTTTTGTTTTTTTTGGTTTGTTGGTCTTGACTTCCTTTGTTGTTTAATTTGGCTTTGCCTGGTTTTTGCACTTATTAATGTATCTGTAAGTCTATCTAGATAAGATAGGGGAGATAAATACTTTGGAGATGAAGAGAATGGGACCAATGGTTCCAGGGAGATAAGGGAAAAGGGGAGGTGGGAGAAAGGAAAGGAAAGGGGGTGGGGGGAACCAACCCAGGGACAAGGGAACAACAAGTGAACTAAAATCAATGGGAGAGAAGGGCACAGGATGCCTAGTCGGGCTTAATCAAGGGCAATGTAGCAGCGAGGAATTACTAAACCTGAATGAAGGCCAAACACGATGGTGGGACAAGAGGAAAGTAAAAGGAAATAGAGGAAAGAGCCAAGAGGCAAAGGACATTTATATAGGCCTAAATACAGGCATGTGCATATGTAAATATATATATATATATGTATGTGTGTGTATATATATATGTATGTATGTATGTATGTGTATATATATATAAAGAGAGGGGAACAGAACTATGTACTCATATCTATATGTTAAGAATTAAGGCTGGTGAAGAAAGCTGATGGTGCCCGGCTATCAAAAGATATAGCGTCTGGGGTCTTAAAAGCTTGAAGGTAAACAAGCGGCCATCTAGCTCA